CATCTTTACCTTGTAAATAAAAAAAATCTAAAAAATACACTATTAATTGCTGATGATTTTAACCAAAATCTAAGAGAAATAAAAATACAAATGACTTATATGTTATTGTCTATATGCCCACTATGATATAACACGAAGCAATTCTAAATAGCATTCTCAAATGTATAATGTATTATGCTTGAAATTTATTTGCATGGTTTTATTTTAGAAATATTTCGTTGACTATTTACATATCATTTCTTGGAATAAATCGATAAGGACACTGATTTACAAGTTTGACCAGAGTTTTTAGTCTGTATTTAAGTGCTTGAAAGTAGAAAATCTGAATTATATCAGTTTGGGACTCTACAAATCTCGAACTTGTATGGAACAAATTTTCTCTGTTATATATTTTGTGTTTTGTTTTTGTTTTGTTTTTCTAAAAAAAGCCTTAATGTCTCTCCGGTTGCATGTCCGTCGCATTCAGTGCTGCAGCACTTTGATTCCAGTTGCTTTCAGAGACTATAGATAAAGATAATTAGCATGAATATACACGATTTAGAAATTTATATTCATTCTTTCAGCAATAAAGCACCAGTATATATTACAAAATATTTTGCATCAATATGCATTTTAAAAAAAAATCTACGTCTATGAATAGCTTGTGAACTGAAGCTGATGAAAATGTTACTTATTAATCAGACTTGTTTATTCCAAATACATGATTTACTTAATAAAGCATTTTAGGCCAATAAAAATACTGATGTTCCATACTTAACTATTGACACAATGTAGCTCGGATTTTCTTAACAGTATAAATTTATTCCGCTAAGTGGAAACGAATATTAAATCATAGTAACGTATCTGTTTCACCATTCTACTATGAACAAAGTTATGAAAAACCCTGAACATGTAGATAGATATTCATAAAGCTTTTTAAACAACTGACCAATAAAGAATGTGTCTGAACCAGTACTTTTAATATTAAACAGAACACACAATATCATTTACAGTTTTTTTAGGTTTTATTGTTTTATGTGTAGCTTCAAATAGTCAAATAACATTGTGACTTTAAGAATCAGATTGAACTTAACAAGAACATTTAAATAAAGACACTCATCTATTAGAATACGAAACAGCTAGATTAATGCGAGTGTTTCATAGTGTGAATTGACATTCTGTATTTCGTTTGTCTTTTTGGTTCATCTGCATGCTGTTCAATTGTCTTCATTTTTTCTATATACTTTTTCTTTATATACTGGTACAATCTTGATCCTTGATTTTGTCATACTTGGTGATATGAGTAAGCCTACATGTATATGCTTATCTACATTTAACAAAATTATATCAGAAACAATGGTACCGCTTAAAGAAACCAACTTAGTAATAATCAATCCATATATATGTGCACCTCCAAGATTTTGAGCTATATCCAATTAGTCCATTCCTACCATAGACAGAAAATCGTGATACGACCCTGACTAATATTTAGAAACTAACGGGCATTTATCTAAAATACTTTAATATTTTTTCCCCATTAAGTTACAGTGCTGTTATATATTGCCTAACCATATATTACTTATTTAAACCAAAGTTTTGTTAAAGATTTAGTTATATATATTAAACAGTACTCAAATCTCTTTCTAAACAGATACGTTACTATGATAAACAGATACGTTTTCCAAGAAGTTATACAGTCCTCAACATTTTATTTTTAATACAAATTTTGCAAACAAAAAAGATATCAACATATATTTATTCCAGGAAATAAAACAGTAAATCTTTATATGTTTCTTTCTTGTTTTTCAACATTTTATTTTCTAGAAAACTCAACTAATCCTTGAATTTCAAATTCCTGATTCACATTTTCAGTTTTCCAAAAAAATCGAGATCAAAGCATCATTTATCGGCTACAAGTACCTTATGCTGTGATTTATTACATGAAACTATTTCAAAACTGAGCAAAATCGTCAATTAAGATTCAAACAATAAATATTGGTAACGTATCTGTTGGTCAAAAAACTAAAATATATCAGATATACACATATGTTTTCCAAATATATTAAAATATTAAGTTTTGTAAAGCATATATTTGAATAATGCATAAATGCGATCCTACTTCTAAGTGCTGGTAATAGTAAATGTTTCTCAGTGGGATATCATGGTAGGGATATCATGGTAACGTATCTGTTTCACTTTAAAGTATAATCCAATTTGCCTCATCATTACAAAGTCATTGTGGTTCTAGCATGTATATTGTAGTCAAAATTATTTTTGAATAATGAAATATGATAAAATTTGAGTTCAATAGCAAACTATTTATATGTTACAAGTTCATATTACTCTTACTCAGGTTTACCTTATGTGTGGTAACGTATCTGTTCAATATATGAGGGACATAATTAGTAAACACGTGCATAACAACTTATCCCTGATATAAGTAATATACACGTGCATAACATCTCATCCCTGTTATAAGTAATACACACGTGCATAACATCTTGCCTCTGATATAAGTAATATACACGTGCATAACATCTCATCCCTGACATCACTAATACACACGTGCATAACAGCTTGCCCCTGATATAAGTAATACACACGTGCATAACATCTCACCCTGACATCACTAATACACACGTGCATAACAGCTTGCCCATGATATAAGTAATACACACGTGCATAACATCTCATCCCTGTTATAAGTAATACACACGTGCATAACATCTCACCCAGCAAACATTCGTGTGCAGTTTGGTCATTTTCTTTGATTTACTTAGAGTGGTGCATTTCGCGGGTGGTCGGGAGAACGTTAAAAAATATAATCCGACATGTGGAGGAGGGTGACCTAAACCGGCGGTGATCGGAATCAAATTTAATCCAAAACGATGAAGAAAATATGTGCTACTGGTTATGTTATTTGACCAGATACTGGGTGTACCAAAGAGAATGACATTTGCCACCAGTAGAGAGCTAGGTTACATCAGCCTGCACATACTTTTGTTGGCAGCTCAATTTTTGTATCTTAATACATTCTAATTGGTCTGTCCCTAACGAATTGTAGTTACATTATTAATTTACATACATTATGTGCCCTGTTTGATTATATCCCAAATAATTACACATTACAGGATTCTTTGTACCTTTGTGATCTCAGCAAACGAAGTATGCAGGATGATTCAAAGAAATTTCAAGTATCTATTTAGATCATTTGTGTTCGACTACTGCCCAATTTATTTTAATATATGTCTTGTTAAAGAAATCCACATTGCGTTATAAGATGTTGCTGAAAGAAAAGAGCGGCGCTCCTACTGAATAGAGTATATACCTCTCAATTGTCCAAAACTGTATTCATGTTCATGTATTACCAATTCATAGGTCTCATATGCATTTTAAACAATTTAACCCTTTTTTGAAAATGGTTATTTATTCTTCCAATCAATCAATTCATTTTCAAGATTTATGACAATTTACAATTATAAACTGAGGTGCACTAGTTATTTCCCTTCAAAAATTCTTCCCAGTCTTAGAGGGTCTTAGCAAAAAGTGCCATTTATGAGTCAAAATAAGGACCCCCCCCGCCTTATTAGCGAAATGAATATGGTTGTTAAGCTAAGAACAGAGGAAAAGAAAAATGCACCAGAATAACTATCAAACCTATTGTATGGCTTTTTTTCTCCATAAACCGGCGATTCTAATTTTTGTACATACTGTGTTTATCATATACACATTTCAATGAGATGTCTGAAAACAACTTTTTGTAATAAAAAAGATAGAGCAATAATCTTTTTTTTAAATTCCAAGTTTAAAGGGGGAATAATTTGGTATTTTAGGCACATTTGATATATATTTCACAAATGTCCACTTTTACATGTCACTAAGGGGAAACTGTGCAGTGATTCATTTTAAAAGTAGGGGGCAAATGTGAGTATACTGTGTGATAATAAAGATAAAAAGTTACAAAGTTTTCAACAAATCATGATACAGTTAATATGTTAAAATATTAGACAATTCTTGAAATATAGGTGCTAATTATGTCCCTTGCCAAATTTGATAAGGAAAATATAATTGAAATAAAGAAACTGCAGCAAAAATAGTTTACTACCCATAACTTTAGTCAGAATCTAGATGTCCCTGCAATGGCTCTGACTATACTTTGTATCGGTAAAAAAATTAACTATAAAAATTACAGAACTTTCATCATTTAGTCTTGGTAGAGTTATGGCCCACTGTTGTTTTCTTTTTGTTGGGAGGGGGGGGGGGGGCATAATGTAATTAACATATAGAGGAATACTATTGTTATGGTTCTGGTAATGACAATCACATTACAATGCAAGATAGAAATAACTTAAAATATAAGGTTAATTGTGATGAATGCTAGGATCCTCATTGTCAGCATTCTGAAATTCAGCAATCCAGATAACTGGTGCACAGGTTAATTTTTGTGGAACATTTGTGAATATATATTTCCTATAAAATTTCCTATGATATCATGCAAAAGGTTTAAATTGAATTTGAATGCCAGATATCCTTCATCTAATGGGACGATTAAAACAATTCAACAATAAGAAATGTGTTTCAATGATTTATCGTTAATATTTTCATATTTCAGTACCCAAACAAAATTAAAGGTATGCATTAAACAAAATAAAAAACTGGAATAGTATCTTTTCTCTTTATTGCCTTTCTAATCACCCTTCACTATTCTCATATAACATCTTGAAACTAATTCTATGAGTAACCTCATAATATCACACCTTTTAGACATCCTTTGTAACTCATCAAATATCGGTATCAAATATGCAATTTTGTTTGGCATAAGTTTTTATTTTAATTAGAAATATTAGTCTACACAAGTCATATTTTCAGTGAGATATATATTCTAAACAGATGTAACTTCTCTTTTTCTGTCCACCCTCACGCATGAATGAAACTTTCAAGTTTTGAGTTTATTAATCTAATTGCTTGGCCACATCATAATCTTGGCACCCGGAAATATTGTTCGTTCTGTTATGTGTTTATTAGTTCAAACATTATTCCTCCTGTCACAAATTACACATCTAAAATAACCCTTCGCCATTATATTTAACCATAACTGCACTTCAAATGCATTATATCCAAAGTGCAAACATTTCCAAATTCTTTTGATTGATATGTAGAACAACTTCATTTTGAGCGTTTTTGTTGTCTGCTTCGGTAAATGTCATTGACCGGCGGTGCCGGTCCTGATGGCATGTCCTCATCATCACTTGCCTCGTTCTCGGGTAATTCTTCGTTTACGACCGGATGCATACTCTAGAGAAAGTAGAGTACCTGGATCCATCTTAACTGGTGTGTCTACTCCATTCTCTAACATAGGAACTGTAAAACATACATCCCACTTATGTTGTGTAATAGTTCAAGCACACATGAAAATCATTGTTTTAAAGAGATCAATTCATGCATCATCAAGTTAAACAAATTCTTAATTTTCAGACATGCATTAAAATTTCTAATGACTTGTACTGTAACTAAATTTTGGTAAAGTCACAAATTTTGGTTTATGGTACAGTCAATATGAAATATTTTGGCATCCTTATTTACCAATTTATGCAGAAATTTTGAAAACTATTAATATTTACAAATTAACATGACTATTTTTTCCCAAATTTTATATTTTTAAGTAGACTGATTATATGCCCTAACACATGGTCCATAACATTTATTTAAAATACTCACATGGAATATTGTTCAATTCCTTGTTGTGTTTCATGATAAATAAATAAATATTTGGAAGAATCTATTCCATTTTTTATATATAAAAAATATATGAATAATATAAACTTACTATCAGGAATTTCTAATTTCTTGAAATGCTCTATAAACTTGTCTATGATAACAAATGGACCCTGAAAAAAAATGTGTGCATGCAATTAACTTCAATTCAAACATATTGTTATTTATTATACTTAATGACATATCATTCCAACATGTAGGGTTTGTTAAAGATTTTAAAACATCCTTGAAATGTTTTTTACTAAAATTTATAAAGCAACACAAGGCAAGAAAGTCTTGCAGAATCAAGGGTAATTAATTATTCATTTAAAATATGCAAATTTCATTTCCTTAATATTACAGAAGATGGTAAATTTTTATTTGATTTAAATGATGCCAGACCGTATAAACTAACTTGATTGATGAAGAACTCTAAGGATGTCTCTAGTGCATTTTATTTCATGTTTGTGTGGGCAAAGGGTAGAACCACCAACCTTCTGTAAGTTAGCACTACAGTTCCCTCATATGAAAGAATCGTAATTCTATGATGGGACTCAAACCTACAGTGGTGGGGGAAAAGTGGTTTGAAGTCTGCAACCATAGCCCCTCAGCCATGGTTTAATACTTTCAATTAATTTTACCCATCAATATCTCCATATAGATCACCAATGCCTTACAAATTGTTTAAACATATCTATTTTAGCAGAATCATCATCTAATTCAATCTATTTAAATAACATTCCTGAACTAAAATCTATTTAAACAAGCAATTATCATAGTATTGCAAGCAATCCAGAAGTCCCCTACCGGTTAGAACCCCATCAACATTCTGAAGGGCCACTGGCCATTCACTAATGTTTCAATTTTCTCTATTCTAAGTAAACTTGTTGGAAAAGTTCTTTAAAAGTGATCACAGGAAACAGTTTTTATGAACAGACAGACAGACGGACTGAAGGACACTCTAAAGTTAATATTTGAAACATCCCTGTTACCAAAATATAACATTTTAAAAGCAAAATTCTTAAAGAGGAGATAACTCTTGAATTAAAGATGCTCTTTTTGACTAATCACAAATATTGTTATATTTGCCATGTTTTAAGCCTATTTGTTGCCAAGGCAAATGATATTTTTTCAAAATAGGAAGAACAGATAAGACATGCATAATCTCAAGACTGCTATCTACCCATATGTCAAGTTTCATAAAAATATTTCCAGTACTTTTTGAGTTATCACTGGATTCAGTTTATGTGTAAAATTTGCCATATTTTCAGCCTATTTGTTGCCATAGCAACCAGAATTATAAACATAGGAAGAAAAAAAAGACGTGCATAATCTCAAGACTACCATCTACCCATATGTCAAGTTTCATAAAAATATTTCCAGTACTTTTTGCTTTATCACTGGATCCAGTTTATGTGTAAAATTTGCCATATTTTCAGCCTATTTGTTGCCATAGCAACCAGAATTATCAACATAGGAAGAAAAGAAAAAGACGTGCATAATCCCAAGACTGCCATCTACCCATATGTCAAGTTTCATAAAAATATTTCCAGTACTTTTTGCGTTATCACTGGATCCAGTTTATGTGTAAAATTTGCCATATTTTCAGCCTATTTGTTGCCATAGCAACCAGAATTTTCAACATAGGAAGAAAAGAAAAAGACGTGCATAATCTCCATACTGCCATCTATCCATATACCAAGTTTCATAAAAATATTTTCAGTACTTTTCAAGTTATCGCGGGATCCAGTTTTGTGGACGGACGGACTGACAGACAGACGGACGGACAGACGGACGGAGGGTAAACCTAAAGTCCCCTCCGGTAAACCGGAAGGGGACTAATAACATTCCTGAACTAAAATCTATTTAAATAACATTCCTGAACTAAGCAAGTTCTGGTGTCATATTGGGAAACAAGGTTGTGAGCGACTCATGTAAGGCTCAAATAAACAATCCCTGGATCAGACAGATACATTAAACAGAAGCCACCTCTCCTCTCAATTATTCATTTTGTCTTCAAACAAGCTGTTTAAAAATATAGCTCATGATTGTAATTTAATTATTTGGTCCTTAACTGACAAGATAAAAATATATATACTGCACGTTTGTAACGTCACTTTTCATTGGAAAATCGTTACTTTTAGATAGTATTATATACATGGCTGCTGTCAACTTATGAAGAAATCTCACTTTTTACTCTTAAAAAAAATGCTTGCTGTATTATAAATCTGTTTAAAATATTTTTGACAGGTTATATGGCCGTATATAAACTGTTATTTACAATATAACCCTCGCCTAGTGGCTTTGGATATATTTTCAAACAACCACTTATATAGGGCCATATAACCTGTCAAAAATCTTTAGAACTAATAATATATACTAACTATTAATGTGACTGTTTTTTTTTTTTATCAGAATATCATTATTAATTGACAATATCAGAATCAAATATTCAGTATTTACATGAAAACATTCAGGAGGTGGCATCAACATCATTAAGGCAGATGCTGCAGCTGGAGGAGGAAATACACCACCGGGTACTACATGAGCATCAATAGCTGTAATGATTTTTCAATTGATTATGTCATACATATAGCAAACAATAAATTAAGAAAATTTACATTTTTAAAGTTAATTGACAACATTCCAAAGCTTATTGCTAGAGAAAGACACCTTACGAATCTTTCATGAATTATTTCCGATAAAAAATGAAACAATTTTCTAAAATTTCTTAAATTTTATTCCATTTTAAAATAATTATGCGCTTCCTAAAATTAAGTTCATTTAATTTAAGATCAATGTGAATTTCTGCTGCAATTTCCATTCATTTACAATACACTTTTATTCATCTGCATTCAAATATAGTTTAACAATAAAGTTAAATTGTTAAGCATGTAATAAAAGTGCCATTTTCACAAAACACGCCTGTCACAAATGCTAAGTCTCTTGATAGTGAAGTTGTATCCATATCAAAATCTCTCAATGTATGATGACTATATAGTCAATATTTCTATTTATTTATCTGATCTTCAACCTCTTCATGTGTTCTTGACCTTGGTCACAAGGACCAGTATTTACACACCTTAAAGTGATGAACATGTGTGTTCTCCTCTGACCACTTAAAATGACATGCCTAAATTTTACCACACATAGGCTTGTCTGATGGTCTTCTGGATTAACTGGTGTTGAATATTTGTACTGGGTAATACTAGATTCCATACATGTATTAAGAAGATATGTACTGATTAAAATTCAGACATTTCATCATCAATGGTGATCTTGACATTTCAAATAGTGACCTTGATTTTGCTGGTTACACTTGTGATTTGTTATCATTTGTGATATATTTCCTATATTCAACACTACTAAATTCCATCCCCTTATTCAATCCATTGGCATATAAAATGTATACTTACGAACATTGATTTTTGGTTTAAATGGCAGCCATTGTTGTGTATCTGGTTTAGGGTATTCTGGACGTTTCATATTTTCATCTTCTTCCATGACAATTTTGGTAACTTTACTTGTTGGTAGTTCAACAACCTGCTTCCTTATTAGATCCTGACAATTAAACATTAATTATTTATTACCATGACACCAACAGTATCTTACATGAGTTGTCAATTTATATACATGTATACTTTTATGAAACATGTCTAGGAAAAGTCATAGTGATAGTCTGCAGAGAAATATAAGTGAAATGTAAGCAACAAATGCCAAATTCTTTTTATCACATGTTCTAAATAATAAAGCCAGAAAATAGCAAAAAGAGACATGTTTAGATGTACTGTTCAAAATGATGTCATGAGAAATTCTATCCAACGTTTATAATATGATAAATACATTATGCTCAAACTACATTGAAAACAAGCAATACATCATGTAATAAAACAGTTTGTGACTAATTTTGCAAATATATACATTTTTCCTTGTATAAATATACTGAAACAAAAAAGAAACTTTCTCCAAGTTTGAATGTAGATATGTTAGTACAGTTTTTCAATCCTTTTGAAACGTTTTTTACGTTGAATAAACATATCAGGCTTTTATACGGGGATAAGCTGACCGATTTTGCAAACAAAACGAGTTTTACAAGCTACTACATGTATATAAGTGTGTACATCTAAGTGGTACCCTTAAACAACTGGCACATACTTTGCGAAAGTTTCTGTTTTGGTTCAGTATAGTTTAATTTTTGTTGAATACCGTGATTTAAAATGTTTTTGACTTGAGAAATGTATAAAAAATCAATCACCATCAACCTTCATAAGGTTAATACTACATATTAATCTAAAACAAATAATACTTCTTATCATTCAATATTAATGTGACATTCATTCAAAACCCTTAATGGTAAAAATACGTTAAGATATACATACATGATATCCTAATGCCTTTAACTCTGACTGACTGCATGGAAATAGATCAGCATATTTATACCTGTCAATTAACAACGCTGTGTCTTTGCCCTCAAATTCTTGTATCTGGAACATAAAACTTTATGCATAATGTTTTGCATAATTAAATTTTCACATTGAAAGCAAGGGCAGGTCTACAGGTTTGTTTGGTTTTACGGTGCACCAACACATAAGTCATGTTGCTGCAACATAATTTTGGCTAGACTCAGGTGTTACGAACTTCAAAGCAACACCAGGGGCAAAACCACATCACCTGTTGGAGCTATGAAATGCATAGACTACAATTATTCAAACCCATTTAGTCACCTCTTTATGATCACACAGGGATAAACTGTGGCTGAAATTGTCATGCCTCAACCATTAAAGACAACCCCTCAGCCACAAGGGGAAAGCAAGAGTTGAAGCTCTATGAAATGTTTGTGACAGAATCTAAAATACAAGCTGGTAAACTATTCTAAACTTACTTAATGGAATCTGATAGATGCATATTGACCACGGATATATATATATATATACATACAGCACCATATGACAAAGTGTCTGAGATGATTTCGAAATCATTTTATGAATTATTAATAAAGTTATTACTGCTTCGTATAATTTTGTATCTTTACCCCTAGACACCCACCAAAAGGGGACTGTAGGGGATAACAAGTACTTCTGCCTTCCACAATGGCTAAAGTTCTAGCAGTTATTGGGCATTACATCTTAATTCTGTTTTTAGAAATTTATATTCACCTCATCGTTCACATTATAAATATTTATATAAACCCCCTCCATCCACAAGGACAAGTTCATTTTCAGTGAAGTATTAGCAATAAACTGTTTATACCTTTTCAATTGCCTGAGATCTTCTTTTTTCAACTTTAAGTATACTGGCTAGATCACCAACCTCTGATTCAAAGGCAAGAAACCGACTCCATATATCTCTATGAAATAAATATAAAAAAATCATCTTAACTTAAGTCTGTGTCATAGATTATAATAATTCAAATAGTTTTCTTAAATTTCTATTTGCTGACATACCCCTTTTTATAATTATTTCTGTCTATACCATCCAGGGCTCATCCTGGGGGGAAATTTTAGGGAGAAGTGACTTCCTCGCGAAAATTAGGGAGAAGGGAAACAACCCAATGTGTATGCATTAACATGCATGGCTATACATCCTTTAATTATAATATAAACACAATTAACATCACTTATAATATTTCTCCAGTTTATTAATTAATAGTAGATTAATTAATAGTAGTATTAATTAAAAGTAGATTAATTATTTAGTAGTAGATCAGGCAATGGCATCTAAATGTTTTTGAGCTGCAAATATGAATATAAAAAAATATTTTTAATATCTATTGATCAGCTATTTATAAGCTTTCTCAATATATGTGTTTATATATTTTCATGTACATTTGTTGAGAAAAGATATGATGATAAAATCAATTTCATATTTCTTTACTTTACTTTTATAATATCTGTTCTATTCTGTTCTGGTAACAAATTTCTTGTTGTAATGTCCCATTTATATGCATATAATTATGCTTATAAAACAATTTTCAAACATCAAAGAATATGTAAAATATGTACTGCAAACATTTGTGCACATTATATTTGATCACTAAAATTACATACATTCATTTCTTTTTGAAAACTTTGACTGAGAAATTGTAGAAAATTATTTTCTAATTACCTCCCTTTATTTTCATGAAATGTTAAATTCGGTAATATCTTTATCAATAATGCTTTTTAAAATTTACAATATTGATAAATCTTAATCTGAGCGTCATATTTACGAATTTATTTTGAAACAATAAGAACACTTCTTTCCAGACAAATGTTGTTGCTTTATACACGTTACATGATATACGACCGATATGTAGTTAAGCCGGGATGTCTTGCCCACGTGCGTAAACTGTGTCAAATTTGGCATTTCTACAAAGAGAACAATGCCAAACACCCCTACTGTCTACAACATACCAATCGCAAGATTTTTGCGAATTGGCTTTCTTAAATTTTCGCGTAGGTGTAACTATCAGAATCAGCTCGGTTTCGGCATTTCGCCTTGTACCCATGACGTAAGTGACATAACAATTTTACAGTAAAAATTGATGTTAACAGACTGAAATCATTCAAAACTATGATTAAGTTTTTAATCTGGTCGCTGATCATTAATGAAATTTATTATTTTTAATTGACTAACAGTTTTGTGATAGCCGTGAAAAATCGCTTTACTCGGGTTAAAAACCCACCATTGAAGTGCATCGTGTATATCAATTAGGGAAGATTGCACGTGTTTAGATAATTGGGGGAAAAAACAATTTATAATTATCGCCAAAATCCCGTATTAAACTTGCAAAACTATCACACAATTATACCGTTTCGGGCCGATGCTCTCATTATTTACTGTTTAGAGTAGGCGGTCTATCGCTTCGCTTACAGGTAGAAGGGTAGTATAAAGCGACGCTCTGATTGGATAATGATAATTAGCGGTCGTCATATGGGCGGATACAATCTCTGCTCTTTACATCGCTAAGTAATTACTATTTGGGAATTAAGATTTTATCGGCGTTGACTTCTCTTTGATCAATCGGAAGAGCGACATTGGAATATACACGGCGAAGTTTTCGCCTGAATCGCCCTTCCGGATGAGCCCTGCCATCAGCAAATTTTTCCCTAATGAGTTCCTGATTGTCTTCATATATAAACAGAATGACACAGATCCTTCTTTGCAATGTTTAATTTACCAAGCATACTTCACAATTTCAAGTTATTTTATCAGTCTGTTCACAATAATTACAATTTGAATAATTCATACTTATTACTCAAATTGTTCACATAGTTTATTTATTGGAAATAAACTTAAACATACTATTAAATTACAAAAGTGAGAAGCTTTATATTCTAAAACAAGTTCTTTAACACTGATGTTGTTAACGTAAAGTTACTATGTATTACACCATAGTTTCCATACACACTAAAAATTAGATTTTTAAATAACTCCTGCCATTTTTGCTCAATATAAAGAGTATAAGATCAGTCCCATAATTTCCATTTTAGAATTCATAATTCATTAGAAGTTGATGTTTATTTCAATGATAAACAAGTTCCATCCTTTTAGTATCCTAGAAATATCTGTTATATATAAGACTGACGTTCCCTATAATATAAGAAAAATCAGACTGGCCATACAGATAAACAGACCGTTAAATAATAACTACTATACTATAATATAACTTGTTCTTAATAAATTTAAAGCCAAATTCCAGAGAGAGAGGCCCAATGATGTAATGTTCTACTTACATAGACTTTTCAGGAGGTATCTGGCCAGAAGATAAAACTCTTTCAAACAGTACCCTGGTATTGTTATCCTCTACAATATTACAATAAAAATACATCAACTTTATCAGTGTAAAGTACATTATTGTATAACGTCTAGCGATAAGCAGTAACAAAATGCCTTTTGTTTTTTCTTTAAGTTTTTTTTTTGTAATGTTTCCATTTATTATGCCCCCATTTTGAAAAAAAGGGGGTATATTGCTTTGCACTTGTCGGTCCGTCGGTCCGTAGACCAAATGGTTTCCGAGTGATAACTAAAGAACCCTTAGGCCTAGGAACTTCAAACTTGGTATGGTGATTGGTCATGACCAGTAGATGACCCCTATTGATTTTGGGGTCAAGGGGTCAAAGGTCAAGGTCACATTGACCTTGAAAGCAAAAACGGTTTCCGATCAATAACTAAAGAACCTTAAGGCCTAGGAACTTCAAACTTGGTATGGTGATTGGTCATGACCAGTAGATGACCCCTATTGATTTTGGGGTCAAGGGGTCAAAGGTCAAGGTCACATTGACCTTGAAAGCAAAAACGGTTTCCGATCAATAACTAAAGAACCTTAAGGCCTAGGAACTTCAAACTTGGTATGGTGATTGGTCATGACCAGTAGATGACCCCTATTGATTTTGGGGTCAAGGGGTCAAAGGTCAAGGTCACATTGACCTTGAAAGCAAAAAACGGTTTCCTATCAATAACTAAAGAACCTTAAGCCTAGGAACTTCAAACTTGGTATGGTGATTGGTCATGACCAGTAGATGACCCCTATTGATTTTGGGTCAAGGGGTCAAAGGTCAAGGTCACATTGACCTTGAAAGCAAAAAACGGTTTTCCGATCAATAACTAAAGAACCTTAAGGCCTAGGAACTTCAAACTTGGTATGGTGATTGGTCATGACCAGTAGATGACCCCTATTGATTTTGGGGTCAAGGGGTCAAAGGTCAAGGTCACATTGACCTTGAAAGCAAAAACGGTTTCCGATCAATAACTAAAGAACCTTAAGGCCTAGGAACTTCAAACTTGGTATGGTGATTGGTCATAACCAGTAGATGACCCCTATTGATTTTGGAGTCAAGGGGTCAAAGGTCAAGGTCACATTGACCTTGAAAGCAAAAACAGTTTCTGATCAATAACTAAAGAACCTTAAGGCCTAGGAACTTCAAACTTGGTATGGTGATTAGTCATGACCAGTTGATGACCCCTATTGATTTTAGGGTCAAGGGGTCAAAGGTCAAGGTCACATTGACCTTAAAAGCAAAAACGGTTTCCGATCAATAACTAAAGAACCTTAAGGCCTAGGAACTTCAAACTTGGTATGGTGATTGGTCATGATCAGTAGATGACCCTATTGATTTTGGGGTCAAGGGGTCAAAGGTCAAGGTCACATTGACCTTGTAAGCAAAAACGGTTTCTGATCAATAACTAAAGAACCTTAAGGCCTAGGAACTTCAAACTTGGTATGGTGATTGGTCATGATCAGTAGATGACCCCTATTGATTTTGGGGTCAAGGGGTCAAAGGTCAAGGTCACATTGACCTTGTAGGTAAAAACGGTTTCCGATCAATACCTAAAGAACCTTAAGGCTTAGGAACATCAAACTTGGTATGGTGATTGGTCATGATCAGTAGATGACCCCTATTAATTTTGGGGTCAAGGGGTCAAATGTCAAGGTCACATTAACCTTGTAGGTAAAAACGGTTTCCGATCAATAACTAAAGAACCTTAAGGCCTAGGAACTTCAAACTTGGTATGGTGATTGGTCATGATCAGTAGATGACCCGTATAGATTTTGGGGTCAAGGGGTCAAAGGTCAAGGTCACATTGACCTTTTAATTAAAAACGGTTTCTGATCAATAACAAAAGAACCCTTAGGCCTAGGAACTTCAAACTTGGTATGGTGATTGGTCATGATCAGTAGATGACCCCTATTGATTTTGGGGTCAAGGGGTCAAAGGTCAAGGTCACATTGACCTTGTAGGTAAAAACGGTTTCCGATCAATAACTAAAGAACCTTAAGGCCTAGGAACTTCAAACTTGGTATGGTGATTGGTCATGATCAGTAGATGACCCGTATAGATTTTGGGGTCAAGGGGTCAAAGGTCAAGGTCACATTGACCTTTTAATTAAAAACGGTTTCTGATCAATAACAAAAGAACCCTTAGGCCTAGGAACTTCAAACTTGGTATGGTGATTGGTTATGACCAATCAGATGACCCCTATTGATTTTGGGGTCAAGGGGTCAAAGGTCAAGGTCACATTGACCTTGTAGGTAAAAACGGTTTCTGATCAATTTACTAAAAACGCCTAGGCCTAGGAACTTCAAACTTTGTTTGATGATTGGTCGTGACCAGCAGATGACCCCTATTGAGTTTTGGGTCAAGGGGTCAAAGGTCAAGGTCATGACCAGTAGATACTTTATAACCCTTATTAATTGTTTGATCACTGGGTCAGAAGTCATGCATAATAACCTTATCACATGACTAATTGGCTGCTGATAGGGGGCATACATGTTTTACAAACATATCTTGTTTAATATAGCTTCCATGTCTTAATCCATCTCTGCTGTGAAATCAATACCCAATGAGATGGAGATAATCTTTTATGTAAGAAATACATTCATCTAGCCTGTGTGAGATATGTAATACAAAGCAAATACTTAGTGCCTGCTTACATGTGCATTTGTATTATTTTTATTAACCAAAATACCATCTTCAATTGGCGTATCTTCATTATCGTGTCAAAGGTTCTTATCAGAGTATGATAAAAAGGGCAAAAAGTTTGTAACTGCTTGGTATCAGGGTTTGTTTTCTGTTTTTGTTTTTTTTTAAATCTGATTTTAAGTCACACCAACACTGTAAAAGTAATATGGTGACTTTACTGTTGGATGAAGATTTCAGGTGTCCATGCATTATTTTAGGTACAAACAGGCACCCAAGTAGAACCATAAGCTAGCTGGATAGCTTTCTCACATTAAAGAATCCAAAGTCTCAGACTGGATTCCAATTTACAGTTGTGAAAGGCAAGTGATTTGAAGTTGTGTGACGCCGCTTGGTATCAGGATAGTAAAAGCAATGTACATGATTCATGATCAGCCCTATTCAATAAAGCAGAAACAAGATTGCATTTGATAAAAATGCTATGCCACCGCATTAATACAACACTAAATAGTAGTGTAGGAACAGATTTTTTTTGTTTCTTTACAATTTTGAAGATTGTCATAAAGCATAGATCCCTGACCTATCTTTTTTTTTTATCAGATAAGTGGTTAAATCTAATGTTAACTCAATAAAAGATCAGAGTAGGAATATATCAATGCACTCAAGTCTAGTGAATTTGGTGGTAAAGGTCATATTTCACACAGCCTAAATTTCATGACTACATCAAAAGGACAACACAGTAAGACACTTTGTCAAAATCTAGGTCAGCTGAAATCAAAGTTCACTTTACATCTTAATCTGTGCACAGGGTTCAAATTTCATAGCTGTACATCAAAGGACAAGAAAGTAGGTCACATCAACAAAATCTAGGTCACCTGATATCAAAGTTCAATTTTACAACTAAAACTGTGCACATGGTCAAAATTTCATTGCTGTACATCAAAGGACAAGAAAGTAGGTCACTGTCCCCTTGGGCAAGGCAAAATTTTAATTGTTTAATTCAAAACAATCTTGATACAGGTCCACCAAACAACATTTCAAGTAAAATATCTAAGCTGTAGCTTTCTCCCATTCAGAAAACATTTGTTTTATTTTCTGTTTTTACTATGTGTACATAATGAGAATCACTGCCCCCGGGCAGGGCCAATTAAATTGACACCAGGGGAAAAATTTGAACAACTTTAGTAGAGGACCTATAGATGATATTATATAGCAAACATCAAAGCTCTATCCCTTGTTCCTTTAGACAAAAATAATTTTTATTTTTTTACTATGTGTACATAGTGAAAATCAATGACCCCTGGGGGTGGGGCCAATTTTGACCCCAGGGCTATAATTTGTACAATCTTGCTAGAGGTTCACTACAAAATGTTTCATGCAAAATATCTTAACTCTAGTCTTTGTAAATTTAAAGAAGATGATTTTTTAAGTTTTTACTTTATACATATAAGGAAAACCTATGGCCCCAAGGGCAGGGCTAATTTTGACACTAGAGGCAAAATTTGAACAACTTTGGTAGAGTTCCTATAGATGATATCATTGAACAAATATTAAAGCTCTAAGCCTTGTACCTTCAGACAATAAGATTTTTTACTATATATATATCTAAAATCAATGACCCCTGGGGCGGGGGCAATTTTGACACCAGGGCTATAATTCAACAACAATCTTGCTAGAAGTTCACTTCACAATGTTTCATGCAAAATATCTAACCTCTAGCATTTGTCAATTGCTAGAAGAAATTTTTAAAAGTTTTTACTATAAGTTTTTACTATATACATATAAGGAAAACCAATGACCCCCCGGGGGCCGATTTTGACCCCAGGGCTATAGTTTGAACAATCTTGGTAACAGACAATGCCTTATGCAAAATATCTAAGCTCTAGGCCTTTTGGGTCTTTACAAGAAGGTATTTTAAGTTTTTACTATATGTACATATAGTGAAAATCAATGACACTCGGGGCGGGGCCGATTTTGACCCCAGGGCTATAATTTGAACAATCTTGGTAAGGGTCTACCAGACAATGCCTTATGAAAAATATCTAAGCTCTAGGCCTTTTGGGTCTTTACAAGAAGGTATTTTAAGTTTTTACTATATGTACATATAGTAAAAATCAATGACCCCCGGGGCAGGGGCAATTTTGACCCTAGGGCTATAATTTGAACAATCTTGGTAGAGGTCTACCAGACAATGCCTTATGCAAAAAATCTAAGCTCTAGGCCTTTTGGGTCTTTACAAGAAGGTATTTTAAGTTTTTACTATATGTACAGATAGTGAAAATCAATGACCCCCGGGGCCGGGCCAATTTTGACCCCAGGGCTATAATTTGAACAATCTTGGTAGAGGTCTACCAGACAATGCCTTATGCAAAATATCTAAGCTCTAGACCTTTTCAGTCTTTACAAGAAGGTATTTTAAGTTTTTACTATATGTACATATAGTGAAAATCAATGACCCCCGGGGCGGGGCCGATTTTGACCCCAGGGCTATAATTTGAACAATCTTGGTAGAGGTCTACCAGACAATGCCTTATGCAAAATATCTAAGCTCTAGGCTTTTTGGGTCTTTACAAGAAGATTTTTTAAATTTATTCTTTAATTCCTTTTGGTTGCCATGGCAACCAGATTTCTGCATGGAATGAAATTCTTTGAACAACTTTGGAACCCCTTCACCCAAGGATCAATCCTGCCAAGTTTGGTTGAAATTGGACTAATGGTTTTTCACAAGAAGATTTTTTAAGTTCACTATATAATCTATATAACACACACACACACAAACAAACAAACACACACACACACACACACGCACACACACACATACACACAGGTGAATCGCTATATGCCACCGCATCGCAGATGCTGCGGTGGCATAAAAATCAAATAGTGACAGTTAAGATATAAAATGTTTGTAATATACCATTTAAGTGTGACATGAAGTCCACATATGCCCGGATATAATCTGTTACGTCTCCAAATTTCTTCAAACCAAGCTCAAATATCTTTAAAGCTACAGTTTTTTCCTGAAATAACCATACTTTCATCAGTACACTTCTAATTATGATAACCTTTAAATATGTTTTATCAATATAATACACATATCACTAATAATAGCAACTTTTTGACCAGTAATTTCTACCTGACAAGAATGACTTATTTTAATCAGGGATTCTTTTTTCCTAAAATGATATTTACAAATTGAATAATTAATAGACATTTCTATTTGAAATACAAAAACATATGTCAATGATGTACAGTCTTACAAAAAGAGTTCTTATATACCTAATGATATTTCATGCATATACATAAGCCTTGGATCTTGCAGGAAAATTATTTTCCGATATATTTACATATAGGGAATATAGACAACCTCTAAGGCTAGATAACAAGGCTTTAGAGTAAACACATACTTTACTGCAGTAGTATTCCATTAGGGCAGCTGCAACGAACACATGATAGGTGGAGCGTTTATCTTCTCTTGCTAATTTGAACACTTGTCTAGCTGACTTTATCCCTTCAGCTCGTCTTGCAAACTTCATGTACTGTATGTAAACCTGTAAACAATAGCAATATGAGTTTATTTATCTTCAGCTATTTCATTTACTTTTCTGAGAACAAACAAAATTTGACCTACATGTAAGACGTTTTCTGAACTTTGTTCACAATTTACATTTGTTCAATGTTATCATTAAGCCTGTAAGCTATAGCACTTAAAATGTCAGTTCTATGATAGTAAATACAACTTAAGTCAATCAAGGAGGGTGATACATTCAATCATGTCATTTTCCATTTATCATATACTTCCTGTTGTTATAAAGAAAATCTGAACAAAATCTAAAGAATTATTAACCCAATCCCTTCAGTGGGATTTTTTTTACCAGAGAGGGTCACATATCTATAATGGGTAATGCATGTTTTAGAGTTGAATTTAGCATTTTCTTAATTTCTTAACAGGGCCTTATTTCCTTTCACATTCAAAATTGCACTTTTTTTCACAAAAAAAGGCGGACAAAAATTCACAATTTCAAAAGAGATTTCAAAAAATATTGGGACTTTGTCTTTAAAATACATTGTTTACCTTCCGGTAAAACTTGATTTAAGCCAATTGCCATAACATGTAAATAGTTTTAATCAAGTTAAATGGTTTTTGCGCATGATAACCGTGTTAAAGTACAGACTTAAAGCAGATTTTACACATGTCAGAAATCAAGCGTTCACAGCGAACCTTTTTGGTTTCAAAATGACGCAAAATACCTATATTTCATTATTTTTCACAATTTTATCATATCGTGCATTTTTTTACAAAATGAACAGGCCCAGGCCCCTTCACAATTTTGACGAAAAATGCCCTGCTTAATCATTTGGACCGATTTGCAGACTGGCCTGGCTTTATACTGGGTGAACAAGGTTAATGACCTTTTGTGACAGCCGGTTAAAGGTTAAATATAACAAACACATACCAGTGATGGATCTAGAGATTCTACTGCTACACATCGCTTATAAATACTGTGAACCTTCTCGTATTTCATACGACTCTGAAATTAAAATTTGAAACATATTGTAAAAACTTAATAAGTTAAATGAAGTCTTAACGAATGCATGTTTCTATTTAACTGAATTTGACTCAATTTGAATTCATAAATTACTACAGCCATAGTACTTTTGTGAAAAATCTACAACTATCCACATTTTAATATAGATAATTATTCTAGCTAAGAGCTATTCTTGCCTCCTCTTGTTTTATAGATCATATTGATAAAAAATTTATGAACTGTTTCAAACAATCTATCTCTTGATGAAACTCAACCCCAACATTACAAGAAATACTAGTTTATTTAAATCTTCACTGTTTAAATTATTGTAATTCTACAATACTCTGCACTCAGGTTATAACTTGAGAAGTTATAAATGATTACCTCTTCAAAATCAGCATATGTAAAGTATATCAGCATGTTTCCCTTCATTGTAGTTGTGATAGCTCTCTCAAACAAGGCTGCTGCCTCGTCAGCAAACATTTTACCAGCATTCTGATCCTGAAATAATACTTGTCATTTATTCAATGCAGTCATCAAATCTTTGCTTTATTTGATAAAGAGACAATGGTTTCATGAAGTCAGTTTAGTGTAAACATGTATACATATAAGCTTGATTGTGAAGATAACTTGTAGTTAATTAGAACAACTATAAGGTCTATTTCCTTGAATTTACTAGAAATGGTTTAATATCGGGAATCAGAGTGGTGACATAGAAGGTGTCAAACCCATGGCCCATAGGTCAAGAGGCAGATACATTTGGCATATATCATCACTAAATTTATAACCAATAATATGTCAAAGTCCATGGAGCACTTTTTAAAGCTAATATGAAGAGCTGGCTACAATTATATCATTTTATATATAGAACACCAGTCCTAAATAATCACAGAATAAGTACACTCCACTTCTGACCAGCTAATATCATAGTGACCTCCCTTCAGCTCAACCCTGCTGGAACCTAGTAAACATTAAAGAACCTGGTCAGCCTGCACGTTAGCGCAGTCTGAACAGGGTCTATACTACTGGCTGACCAAGATCAAATTTTCATCTCAATATCCTTCAAAATCATTATGAACAGTACCAAAAATTGGAAGCTGGACAAGTCTGTTTGAGAAATTCAGCAGGTAAAGGGTTAACTGACAACAACCTTCCATCTGTTTGTAGGCTGATGGTCAGTCACTATAATTCCTGGAAGCTGTCAGAGGTGTGTAGTATTTCTTATATAGTATAATAAGTGTTTAATTAGCTTACCCCTTTCTCTGTCAGTATTTTACTAGATTGTTCCAGGTAGTTAGCTGCCTCTATCCATACATCGGGATGATAAGCCAAACAAAGTAGACACTGCTCATATGCGAACATAACTGGAAAGAAATTTTACCAAGATGTAAGATTAAGTGGTCACATTTGTAAAAGTTTAAAATAGTCTCTTATACAAACTTGAACTTAGTACAACATCTTAATTTACCTTTTCACTAATGGCAACAAAGTTAGTCATCAAAACTAAAAATTCAGATTGTGTAAATATTTTCTTGTGATTTATTCTTCAATAGCTACAAGTGTCCATTTTGCTTAGAAATATGCACAAGTAACAAAATTTCAGGCAAGTAAGTCACAAAAAAGGTTACCATCATATTACTTTATGTCCAACACTCACCTCTTTTTGTTATAAGGGCTTGATCCTCAGTCCTTAGAGGATTACCCTTTTCCCAGGCAATATATTTCTTCCATAGCTCAACCTGCAATTATTCAAAAGATAAGAAATACATCAATGAAACTGTAAACTGTAAAACATAAATAATATAATTTTCTTAACTGGATTTAACCTAAGAAATGAATATGCCAGAGAGTGACAAACAAGGCAAGACTGTCCTGGTTAATTATACTGCCCTCACACATACCTCGCGACCTTACTGCGTCCTTACTGCGACCTTGCTACGACCCGGGACGCAGCACAGTCGCCATGGACGCAGCAGGGACGCAGCGAGGAACCCAAGGACGCACAAGGTCGCAGACCGTCGGCGACTATTTTGAACATGCACAAAACAGTCGCAGAAACTCTGCGTTCTTGCTGAGTCCTGGTTAGGTCGCAAGAACGTAGTAGGGTCGTCGTACATTCGCAGGACAGTCGTCGGACAAACGCTATAGACGTCGTAGAGTCGCCGTAAGGACGCAGAGAAAATAGCACAGTCGCAGCTGGGTTGCCAATGATCGCCGTGGGGTCGCCTTGGGGACGCATTACAGTCGCAGTGGAAACGCCATGGACGTAGAAGGGTCGTATTGAGGACATAGAGAAAACATACTGAACACAAGACTGCAGAGCCCCGGACCGTCTGCGAGATAAAGTTTCTGCGATAGAAATTTGGAAATTTGAAAGAAAACCAACGATTTTCGAAAGAAAAATGCTATTTTACTAGTTTTCAGGTCGCAGTAAGGTCGTGGTTTATGTGTGAGGGCAGCATTACTCCAGTTGAACATC